TAAAATACTTTGATATAAATCTGGCAAAAGATTTGAAAGACCTGTACAGAGAAAACTCCAAAACATTGCTAAGATAAATTAAAGCAAGTCTAAGTGGAGATATATACCTTGTTCATGGGTGGGAAGACTCACTATTGTTACGATGGCAATTGATTTATAAATTCAACAAGATTTCAACAAAAATCCCAGACTACTTTTTATAAAAACTGACAAGCTTACTGTAAAATTCAAATGAGAATGAAAAGAGCTGAGAAATAACCAAAGCCAAAGCAACTTTGAAAAAGAAACACAAAGTTGGAAAGCTAACACTACCTGACATCAAGACTTACAAAGCTACATAATCAAAGCAATGTAATACTGGTATAAATATTAGACAAATAGATCAATAGAGCAGATCAGAGTTTAGAAAAAGATTCACACATATAAAGACAACCGATTTTTTTAGACCAATGTTAAAACAAGAACCACTCACACTGCGTCTTCTCCCTCTTACTCTCCTCAAGAAAGAGAAGACACATCATCAGGGACAAATCACAGTTGCAGTGAAGCAGCACCAAGAGCCAGCTTTACACTCAGGAGAATAACCTGTGCTTCCTTCTCATGGTTTATGGTTCTCTACAAGATCAGAGAAACTTCTCTAGTAACAAATTATAGAAATGATCCCTGAAAGTATAGTCTTGACAACTGATTTTCAACAAAAGTACAAAGGTAATTCAACAGAGGAAGGATAGTCTTTTCAACAAATGGTATTGGAACAACTGGGTATCATATGCAAAAACAAATCAACTTTGATACATACCTGATGGCATAATCAAAAATTAACTCAAAAAGGATTATGGACCTAAACATAAAACTATAAAACTTCTAGAAAAAAACACAGGAGAAAATTTTTGTGATCTTGGGTTAGGGAAAGATTTCTTAGATATGACACCAAAAGCATAATCCATAAAAAAATAAACTGATAAACTGGACTTCATGAAGATTTAAAAAGGTATTCTCTTTGAAAGGCACTGTTAAAAGAATAAAGAAACAACCCACACACTGGGAGAAAATACTTGCAAAGAATGTATCTGATAAAGGAGTTGAATCAGAATATGTAAAGAACTCTTAAAAAAATCAATAAAACCACCCAATTATAAAATGGTCAAAAAATTTGAACAGACATTTCACCAAAGATATACAGATAGGAAATAAGCTTATGCTAAACTCCACATCATCAATCCACATCTGTTAAGAATGTAGATTAAAATAACAAAGAGATATCACTGCACACCCATTAGAGTGGCTAAAATTAACAAGACTGACCATGTCTTCTTGGTCAGTCTGAACTGGAGCACTCATACACTGTGGATGAGAATGTAAAATGGTACAACCAATTTAAAGACCAGTTTGCCAGTTTCTCAAAAAGTTAAAGACACATATACCACAGGTGTAGCAATTCCACTTCTAGGTATTATTTATCCAAGAGGAAAGAAAACATATGTCCATACAAAGACTTGAGTATGAATGTTCATATAAGCTTTATTCATAAATATCCCAAACAAGAAATAACCCAAATGTTCATCCATAAGTTCTTGGATAAGCAAATTATGATATATGCATATATAGACTACTACTCAGCAATAAAAAGGAATCAACTATTGACATATACAACAACATGAATGAATCTTAAAATTATCGAATAAAAGAAGCCAAACAAAAAGCAGTACATACTATGTTTCCATTTACATAAAACTCTAGAAAATACAAATATTTATTACATTTATAGTGACAGAAATCATTGGGTGAGGAAGGATGAGAGAGAGGAATCATAAAAGAGCAGGAGAAGTCTTTTGGGGGTGATGGATATGTTCACAATTTTCACTGAAATGATGGTGTTTCATGGGTATATATACATATGTATATTCCCATAATATATGTATATACTCATGACATATAAACCCATGTACATATATGGGGTATATACATATGTCAAAAAACACCAACTTATAACCTTTAAAAAGTTTAATTTCTTGTATATCAATTGTACTTCAATAAAGCTGCTAAAAAACACATATTTTCAGAATCACTCAAGAAAAAAATTGGGATGTTACTTTTTAGCAGACTACTATTCTTATTTCTTTTTTTTTTTAAAATCAAACATTTAGTTTATTATATCTCAAACAAGAAGCAGTACAATTAACCTAACCTATCACTACAGTTTTGCCATCTTAACGGTGGCTTGTTCATGCCAGCAGTGAAGAAGCCTGGAGAGCCAGTAGCAATGAAATCGTGAAAGGTGTATACTTATTTCTTATTTAAAAAGGCCCTGTGGCATAGTAGAAAGAGTGAGCTTTCCATCAGGAAATCTTGCTTAAGTTCCACCTCTGCTACAAACTTGCTAACCTCTCAATCTTCAGTGTCCTCATCTCTAAAATATCTCTACTTAATTTATAGAGATAATGAGATAAAATAGGTGAGGTCAGATTACATAAACTGTTAGTGTCATACCAATGCACTGTATTTCCTATTTTTTACCATATTATTTACCAATTTACCTGATATAGGAGACCAACCCTACTGATGTATATTATTTCAAAGACTAATTTTTTAGGTCAAACTTATGTTTTAAAAAGTCTCTTACATGGCAATAAGCATGCTTTTAAACATACCCTTTTAAAAAATAATCTGAGAAAAGTAGAAACTTTTGAAACAGTAAATAACTGTTTTTTGTTTTTGTTTTTTTTTTTTGAGACACAGTCTCACTCTGTTGCCTATGCTAGAGTGCCATAGGGTCAGCCTAGCATAGCCTGCCATAGGGTCAGTCACAGCAACCTCAAACTCCTGGGCTCAAGCGATCCTTTTGCTTCAGCCTCCCGAGTAGCTGGGACTACAGGCAAGTGCTGCCATGCCCGGCTAATTTTTTCTATATATTTTTAGTTGGCCAATTAATTTCTTTCTATTTTTAGTAGAGACGGGGTCTTGCTCTTGCTCAGGTTGGCCTTGAACTCTGATCTTGAGTGATCCACCTGCCTCGGCCTCCCAGAGTGCTAGGATTACAGGCATGAGCCACCATGCCCAGCCAATAACTTTTTTTAATGTGTAAAACAATGCCTTTTCTACCAACTGTACCAAATTCTTTCACAGATTAAACAAAGTAACAGGTATGATATGCTCTGAAAAATCTGTGAAAACTGTTTACAAATATAAGATGCTATTACTATAACCGTGCTTTATGTCCATGTGGCTGATGCAATATTTGGAGATATAGGGTACTTATAGTTCAAAGGACCAACAGATTGAAGTGAGATTCCCAATATTCAATTAATTTTAACATTTACTGAATGCTTACTAAATGTAGGCAATGGAGATCTGTTTATCATCAAATTAAATCCTTAAAGCACCTGGATAAGGAAAGTGAGGCTTGGAGGGGTAAGCAGCAGCTAACAAGTAATAGAACTGGTATTTGAGCCCTATTTGCCAGACTCCAAAGGCTGCCCTTTTCACTATGCCATCAAATTGTTTAAAATCACAAAAGCGCTGATATTAGCAAATCGTGCTACCTATATATCCTATGTAATTACAGTCATTTGCCACGTAATGACATTTCAGTCAATGACAGACAGCATGTATGATGGTGGTGTCATATGATTATAATGGAGCTGAAAAGTTCCTATTGCCTAGCGACACCATAGCTGTCATATCATCATAGCACAATACTTACTTGTGTTGTTTGTGGTGATGCTGGTGTAAACAAACCTACTGTGCTGCCAGCTATATAAAAGTACTGCATATACAATCATATACAGCACAATACTTCATGATGATAATAAATAACTAGGTTATTGGTTTGTTTACTATACTATACTTTTTATTGTTATTTGATATTGTTTCCCTTCTATTCATTAAAAAAAAAAGTTAACTGTAAAACACCCTCAGACAGGTCCTTCAGGAGGTATTCTAGAAGAAAGCATTGTTATCAAAGGAGATGACATCTCCATGTGTGTTGCTGCCCCAAAGATCTTCCCAGTTGGACAAAATGTGGAGGTGGAGACAATGATATTGTGATCCTGACCTGAGTAGGCCTAGGGTAATGTGGGTGTTTATGTCTTAGTTTCTAACAAAAAAGTTTTAAAAGTTAAAAATAGAAAGAAAATCTTATAAAATAAGGGTATAAAGGAAGAAAATATTTTTTAAGAAAATATATATATATATTTTTTATTTCGGCATATTATGGGGGTACAGATTTTAAGGTTTCAATAAATGCCCATTTCCCCCCCAAGAAAATATTTTTGTATGGCTGTACAATGTGTTTGTGTTTTAAGTGTCATTAAAAAAGAGTCAAAAGGTTTATAAAGTAAAAAAGTTCCAGGAAGCAGGGGGTAATTTATTATGGAAGAAAGAAAAATATTTTTTTACAAATTTAGTGTAGCCTAAGTGTACAGTGTACACAGTATAGCCTAAGTGTACAGTATACAGCCTTTTAATCTGCAGTAACATGACAGGAATTCACATTCACTTACCATTCACTCACTGACTCAACAGAGCAATTTCTAGTCCTACAAACTCCATTCATGGTAAGTGCCCTATACAAGTGTACCATTTTTTATCTTTTATATTGCATTTTTACTGCGCCTTTTCTATGTTTAGATACACAGATACTTCTCATTGTATTACAACTGCCTATGTTATTCAGTACAATAACATGCTGTACAGGTTGGCAGATTAGGAGCAATAAGCTATACCACATAGTGTAGGTGTACAGGTTATGACTGTCCAGGTTTCTATAGGTATACTCTATAATGTTCACACAATGATAAAATTGCCTTACAACACATTCCTCAGAATGCATCTGTTGTTAAGTGACACATGAATGTATATAAAAAAATCACAGATAACTTCATTAATTGTATTGGATTCAATATAGAAAAAAAAACCCGGTAGGAAAAGGAATAAGACCAAGATAACAAAGTAAAAATGAGAAAATCTCTATGTTCTATATTGCAGAAGATAATACGTACATCTGTACCATAGATGAGGAAATCACTAGTTAAGGCATGACATAAAATACGGCACTTATCATCCATTGCTGGGAAAAGTCGAGTTTCACGTTCTTCTTGAGCATCCAAGACTTCACTTTCTATCTAAAACGTAAAGAATAATAATGGCTCACAGACTTGAGTAAATTTGGTATACAACATCTGGGGAAGGGTGTCTTTTTCTCAAGTTCAACTAAACATTCACACTCACAAGACTACCAGAGCCAGTTTAGTTAGAAAGATATCAGAAAGTAACCACAGCTTGCCAGCAGGGCAGCATTAGATATCCCTCTTTAATGTGAATAGTCTTTACTGGAGGCTCTGCAGCTGTCTAGCTGCTAATCTCTTTGGCTTTCCAGATCCAAGGAGCCAAGAAACAGATGTGGGAGATGCCATAGTTTAGAAGCCCCATTTTCACAAGTGCTAAAATCTCTTGAGCAACTCAACAGGCATAGTTTTGAGGATCTCTACACAATACATGCCCAAATATGAATCAATACACTCCAGGAATCCCAGAGGTATGGCATTCCCATCAGGTTTTTATAGTTCATTTATAGTTCCTTCTAGATGCGATTTACCAACAGGGTTGTTTTTACTATAAACAATGTTGTATGCAGCACTGTTAATATTTATCAGGTTTTGAGAGAACAGAGCTAGAAAGTCAATTGAACTTCTCATATAGAAAGGGAAGAGTTTTGTTAATCCTTTTCCCATACTTGGCTTTCTAGCTAGTCTGTACATACTTGCTTCCTGACCAAAGTTCTTGATAATTAGAGATGAAACTGTTTATCATCATCACTTAACAGATTTCCAGGACATCAAAATTATACTTACCAAATGTAATTGGACTTTGCCTTCAAAAAGTGCAGCAGCATAGTCAGAATGAAGGCAAATACTGGCTACTGTTCCCAGATACTCCGTATCTTTTAATTTTTTCACAGCTGTAGCAATTTTTAAAAACCAACACATTAAAATATAGGTAAAAGTAGCCCATATAAATATTTGCAAATATTTCTAAAATTTGTGCCTTTGCAAAAATATTCTGAACTTAAAATTTTATTTTAGCCATTCTAAGGAAAATCTTAGTTGACAAATAAATTTGCCTTCAGGCATTTCAGAATAGCTAGTGTGAAACAAAGTAATAGAAAATGAAATCACACGCAAAACAACTAAGAATTAAGTGACAAGAAGCTTAACGGTGTTTTCTCTGTTTTTTTTTGTTTTTGTTTTTGAGACAGAGTCTCGCTCTGTCACCCAGGCTAGAGTGCAGTGGCATAATCAAAACTCACTGCAACCTCCAACTCCTGGGCTCAGGTGATCCTCCTGCCTCAGCCTCCTGAGTAGCTGGGACTACAGGTACATGCCAGCATGCCTGGCTAATATTTTTAGTAGAAAAGGGGTCTTTCTCTTGCTCAGGCTGGTCTTGAACTCCTGAGCTCGAGCAATCCTCCCACCTTGGCCTCCCAGAGTGCTAGGATTACAGGCATGAGCCACCACACCGGGTCGGTGTTTTCTGTTAAACAAGTTAGTTCTCAGTTTTATTCTGAGGGTTATCTGACCTAGAATTGGAAAAAGGGGAAACAGAACTGACATGTATTAAGTTCCTACCAGGCTTCAGAGTTCCGAACAAAGCCACTGTGCAAAGTGAGATCACACATTTTATTAATATTTCATTTAATCTCTCTCATGACCCATTAAAAGTATCCTCATTTGCCAGATCAGTAAAGCTCACAGGGGTAAAATAATTTGTCTACAGTCACTTAGCTTTTAGAGGCAGGAGAAATTAAATCCAGAGGCTGTCTGAAGCTCACCCTCTACCTACTATACTATACTGTCTTCACTACAAGGTAAAGAATAACCTTTCTAAAAATTATACAGATTTTTAAAAGAGTCACAAAACCACTTAAGCTAAGAAAGATATGGTTGAATAAAAAAGAGTGAATGGTTTGGTCTTAAAAGAAACTTCCAGGGCTTCCTAAATAATAACAGAAATTACAGATAAGAATACAACAACTGAATTTAGACTTGCCATTCTCTCCAACAACATAAAACCAAGCTCGATTATTCATTCCTACAGCCAGATGATAAAGACCTACTGCTACAAAGCTGGGTTCCACATCAACAGAAACTGTGATTGGTTGCTCCTATAAAATAGAAAAGTAACAGTAGTGAATCAATTGCCAACCTATTTTGATTTTATTAATAAATAAAAGAACAACAACACCATTTTCATACTCCTTCAACAGGGTTGGCTACAGTAACTTCAAGGAGGGAGGTAAGATATGCAATCCTTGTGCTGCAGGCGTCCCCGAGAATGGGAAGTTTGGTCAGGAAAACATGAAGTGAGCCTCTTTGGGTAGACAACGCCAGCAGCTGACCATCATCTGTCCAGGACATGGTACCCAATCCTGAAATAATTCACAAAATAAACGACTGTTTAAAAACAATATACTGTTGGAGGCAAGCAAGCAAATATTTTCACTTGAGCTACCACAGGCATACAAATCTTTAAATATTTTCTTTACTATTAATAGTCTAAGTAGTTTTTATTTAAACTAGGAAACTCAACATGGACTGGCATAAGAATATGACCAATGAATATAACTCAAAGGGAAAGTAGTCATCTGTCAATAAAGGGAATGTGTTACGAGAAATCTGGCATTAGGAGATTTCATCGTGCAAACATCATATGGTTGTACTTTCACAAATCTAGATGGTATAGCCTACTACACACCTAAGCTATATGGTATAGCCTATTGTTCCTAGACTACAGACCTGTACAGCATGTTACTATACTGAATACTATAGGCATTATGTATATATTTGTGTACCTAAACATATTAAAATGTAGAAAAGGTACAGTAAAAATATAGTATAATCTCACAGGATCACTATTGATATGCAGTCCAACATCGACTAAATTAGAATAAAATTCACTATAAACCTCTGGATCAAAGTGGACTTACAACCTTCTAGTCAAGTAGACTGACTTAACATAATTACTAAAAAATAAGGAGATTAATTTAGGGAACTATAGTGAAGGGTGTTAATTTTATTCCTCCTACAATTAATGCAAATTACATAATAACAAACACATTACTCTTTGTAACTGGAATGATAAAATGTCAATCTGCTTCAGAAAAATCTATACCTTTATTTTCATCATCCAGGTTGACTATAGCATATACGTCTTTTAATTCTGCCAAGTCATACATTTTAATGCTGAAAAATAAAAAACATATCCTTTAAATATATGTGAAGTTTATATAAAATTGGTTTAGTTTACAAAAATTACAAACTATGGAATAGGTCAGTGGTTCCCAAAATAGGATATGAAGGATGATCCACTGAGTTATGGTAAGAAAATACAATTTCTATATTTGATTATATTTTATCTTTTAAATTTTCCTGGGTTTTTTAGTGCAGTGCAGATTGCAGGAGAGTACAGTGTCATGCCTGGCTTAATTATTTGATCTACAGCTTCGGGAATGAGGAGATTAAAATTGTTCTGAATGGCCAGGCACAGCGGCTCACGCCTGTAATCCTAGCACTCTGGGAGGCCGAGGCAGGAGGATCGCTCAAGGTCAAGAGTTCGAAACCAGCCTGAGCAAGAACGAGACCCAGTCTCTACTAAAAACAGAAATAAATTAATTGGCCAACTAAAATATATAGAAAAAATTAGCTGGACATGGTGGTGCATGCCTGTAGTCCTAGCTACTCAGGAGGCTGAGGCAGGAGGATCGCTTGAGTCGAGGAGTTTGAGGTTGCTGTGAGCCAGGCTGACTCTGTCTCAAAATAAATAAATAAATAAATAATTGTTGTGAAGAAGTCTGAGCAGAAAATATTCTCCTGAGCAGTACTAATTATTGTATGATGCAGGTTTTTCTTTATGTGTTCCCCTTGTCCCCTACCCAGAGTTCTTTCACTTAAAAAGAAGTAAGGTATAATACAGAAAGAGCATTAGAATCAGAAGGCCTAGGTTGAAAGCTCTGAAAAATGGGGGCATACTGTTACTTCATATGATTATTGGAAAGAGTAAGTTAGTGTAAATGAAAGCTGTACAGCACACGCCGGGACCTGACAGCTGTAACATTTCTCCCTCCTTGTCTCCTCCCTCCTCTTATTCTCTCCTTGTGTTTTCCCCTTACATTTTTCCCTGTTTTCACTGAATTAAACTTTTAACTTTCTGATAATTATAGATACACATGCAGTTGTAAGAAGCAATACAGAGAGACTCTGTGTACTCTTTATCCCTAATGGTAACATCTTGAAAAACTTTAGTATGATATTACATTGATACGATCCATGAACCTTATTCAGATGTCCCCAGTTTAACTTGTACTCAGTGTTTATGTTTAGTTCTACACAACTTTTTTTTTTTTTTTGGCATATTATGGGGGTACAGATTTTAAGGTTTCAATAAATGCCCATTTCCCCCCTTCCCCCAAAAGTCTGAGTCTCCATCATGACCATCCCCCAGATGGTGCACATCTCACTCATTATGTATGTATATACCTGCCCCTCCCCCTCCCACCTGCCCAATACCTATTACTGTACACCAATGTGTCCACTTAGGTGCTACTCAGTTAATACCAGTTTGCTGGAGAATATATCTGGTGCTTGTTTTTCCATTCTTGGGATACTCTACACAACTTTTTAAAAATTTTTTATTTTAGCATATTACGCGGATATAAATGTTTAGGTTATGTATATTGCCCTTGCCCCAACTGAGTCAGAGCTTCAAGTGTGTCCATCTACAAAACTTTCTCACACATGAGATTCATTAGACCTACAACCACAGTCAGGATGCAGACAACACACAGTTTCACAACCACAAGGATCCCTCATGATGCCTTTTTTTTTTTTTTTTAAGAGACAGGGTCTCACTCTGTCGACCAGGCTAGAGTGCAGTGGCCTGATCATAGTTCATTGTAACCTTCAACTCCTGGCCTCAAACAATCATCCTGTTTCAGCCTCCCGAGTAGCTAGGACTACTGGTGCACACCACCACACCCCGCTAATTTTTTTTTTGTAGAGATAGTGGTCTCGCTATGTTGCCTGGCTGGTCTCAAACTCCTGGCCTCAAGTGATCCTCCTGCTTCAGCCTCCTACTGTATAAACAATCACCTCCTTCCTCTCCACCCTAGGCCCATCTCTAACCCCTGGCAATTCCTAATCTATTGTTTCTATATTTTTGTCATTATGTCATTTTGTCATAATTTTAGGATTATATAAATGGAATCATAAAGTATGCACCATTTTGAGATTGGCTTTTTTTTCCTCAGCATAATCATCCTCTGGAAATTCAAAATTGTGCATGTATCAATAGTTTTTATTGCTAAGTAGTATTCCCTGATATAGATTAATCTCAGTTTGCTTAAACCATTCATCCTTTGAAGGACATCTGAATTTGTTTCCAGTCTTTGGCTATTACAAATAAAGGTGCTATAAACATTCATACACAGGTTTTTGTGTGAACATAAGTGTTCATTTCTGTGGGATAAATGGCCAAGAGTACAACTGTTGGGTCATATGGTAATTAATATTTAAGAAACTGACAAACTGTTTTCCAGGGTAGCTGTACTACAATACATTCCTACCAGCAATTTAATACTAATCCAGTTCCTTCTCACCAGTATTTGGTGTTATCACTATTTTTCATTTTAGCCATTCTAACAGATTTATAGTGGTATCTTATTGGGGTTTTAATTTGCATTTCTCTGATGGCTACTCATGTTAAACATCTTTTTGTAATTTGTCATCTTTACATATTACTTGGTGAAATATCTTTCACCCATTTTCTAATTGGTTTGCTTTTTTTACGATTGGTTTTTTTGAAAAAAATGGTTAACTATGCATAAATTTATTATTGTTGTATTGCTTAAACTGATATGTAAATAGGTAATTGACATTTAAACATTGAATCAACATAGTATTAAGCAGATAACATATAGAAGTAAAATGTCTGAACATACTATTCGGTTTTGAGAGTTCTTTATATATTCTATTATAGATACTGGTTGTTTTTTGGATATGTGGTTTGCAAATATCTTCTCTTATTTTGTAGCTTTTCATCTTCTTTAATGGAGTCTTTCACAGAGCAAACGTTTTTAATTTTGATGAAATCTAATTTATCAATTTTTCTTTTTATAATTCACATTTTTTGGTTTTAAGTCTAAGAACTCTGCCTACTTCTGCATCCAGAAGGCTTTCTCCTATGTTTTTATCTAAAAAATTACAGTTTTATGTTTTACATTTAAGTCCCTGATCCATTTTGAGTTAATTTTTTATTAAGGTGTGAGGTGTGTGTTGAGGTTCATTTTTTTTTTGCTTGTGGATGTCCAATTTCTCCAGCACCATTTGTTAAAAGGCTATCTTGCTACCATTAAATTGCTTTTCCACCTTTGTCAAAAACCAATTGTGCATATTTATGTGGGTTTATTTCTGGTTTCTCTATTCTGTTCCATTGAACTATATGTCTCTCCCTCTGCCAATACTATAGGTCTTGATGACTGTACCTACATAATAAGCTTTAATATTGGGTAGAATGATTCCTCCCATTTTATTCTTTTTAATATTGCTTTGGCTATTTTAGGATCTGTACCTATCCATATATTTTAAAATAAGTTCATCTATGTCTACAAAAAAACATGCTGGGATTTTGATATGAATTTCATTTAACTATAGAACAACTTGGGGGAACTGACATGTTTACTGTATTGAGCCTTCAATCTATGAACACAGCATGCTTGTCCATTTATTTGGGTCTAATTTGATCTTTTTCATTAGCAGTTTATAATTTTTCAGCATAAACTCTGTACACACTTTGTTAGACATACAGTTAAGTATTTCATTTTCTTCGGAGTGATTGGAAATGGGATTGTCTTTGTTTTCACATGTTTGTTGTTAGCATAATGTGAGTGATTTTTGTGTGTTGATCTTATTTCTTGCAACCATGCTCAACTCACTTATTAGTATTAGTGGTAGGTTTTTTTGTAAGATTCCTTGGGATTTCCTACATAAAAAATCATGTCATCTGCAAATAGAGATAGTTTTAATTCTTCCTTTCCAATCTGAGTGATGTTTTTCTTTTTCTTGCCTTACTGTGGTAGCTAGAACTTCTAAAACTAGATTGAATAAGATTAGTGAGAGCAGATACTAGGGGGCAAGTATTCAGTCTTTCGCTGTTAAGCATGATGTGAGCTGTAGGTTTTTTGTAGTTGTTCTTTATCAAGTTGAGGTAATTATCCCCTATTCCTAATTTGCTGAGTTTTTATCATAAAGGATTTTGTGAAATGCTTTTTCTATATCAACTGATGTGATCAGTTTGTCTTTTTTAGCTTTTGATATCAATTGCATTAATTTTTAAATGTTAAACTAACCTTGCATACCTGGAATAAATCACACTTGGTCATGAGGTGTAATTCCTTTTATATATTGCTAGATATATATATATTATATACATTCATATATTGCTTTATCAGTTGTCTAAACTCTGTTGGGAATTTTCGTATCCAAGTTCATGAGAGAGATTGATCTATATATTTCTTTTATATACTGTCCTTGTTTGGTTTCAGTATAAGAATAATACTAGCTTTATAAATTAAGACTATAATCAAGGTAATAGACATACCCATAAAAAAAAAGTTGAGAAGTATTCCCTCTTTTATTTTTTTTCAGATTTATAAAATCTGAAACAGATTTTATAAAATTGGTGTTAATCATTTGTTAAATGTTTGAATGTTTGATAGAACTCTTCAATGAAACCATACGGGCCTGGAGATTTAATTTTGGGGAGCATTTAAATTACTAATTCCATTTCTTTAATGGTTATAGAGTTAATTGCACTAATTGAGATTACCTATCATTTGGGTTGAATTTTGATAGTTTATGGTTTTCAAAGAATTGTTCATTTCTTCTAAGTTGTCAAATTTATGAGTATAAGGTTGTTTGTAGTATTACCTTATTCTCTTAATGGCTTCTAGATCAATAGTGATACACATGCGATTCTATAGTGATACATCTGCCTCATTCCTGATATTGGTGATTTATATCCTTTTTATTTTTGTCAGTCTTGTTAGAGGTTTATCAATTTTATTTTTTTTTCAAAAAACCAGTTTTTTGTTTGAAATTTTTCTATTTTCTTATTTCAATTTCATCAATTTCTGCTTTTTATTATTTTCTTCCTTCTACTTTGGGTTTATTTTGCTTTTTTCTAGTTT